TCTATGTCTTTGGAACTATCCGATCAAATTTATCGGATAGTCCTATAATTTGATCGGATAGTCTTATAAATCCGATCAAAATCAATCGGAAATATCTATTTGTTACTTTTTGAACGGACATTTTTCTCAGTGTAGCATACAATTATCATTAATTGTTCCGTAAAAAAAATATTATTTCAAACACATTGTTTTTGTGTTGCTCGGCTATTATTCCATCTACATTCTCACATCGCTATATTATAAGAGAAAATCGTGTCGATGTAAGCTTGTTTATGTTTATGTTTGTAAATAAATATGCAGGAACTTAGAAAATAGAATTTAAAAAACGCAGACGCAATGTAGTATATAAAACAAAGATGTTCCCAATAAGAAATTATTGTATGCGATATATTTACTAGTAGGGGAGACGGAGGTTAATTGTACGGGATAAAGTCACTAGATCTATAAAGTACCGCAATTGATTTCAGAACTGATGCGTCAAAATGGCCGAAGTGCACATAGTATACTATTTCATTGTACACATTGAGTACAGTAAAATCTATGTGTAACTAAATCCACGAGTGCAATCAGTCACTTTAAAAAAATACTGAGATAACCCGGACCGAGGTAAAAACACGTTTGCCCCGACCGAATGATTTTTTAAAAATACTCAAGCTCTTGCGGTGGTCATACATGTGATGTGTATTATATTTTCGTGTTCCGTGAACAGTTCTAAACTGTACTTGTATGTATCCTTTGTGCACTTTTATGCATTGAACTTCTACAGCAAATAAATCCGTATTAAACTAAAAAACACATAAATTAAACATTCGTACATATTCTTTTGTTTATAAATAAACTAATTACAATTCAAAACCATTGATTTACAAACTCGACGGATTCATTTTCTCAACTAAAGTACGTATATACAAATCCACTAATTTGAAATGGCCGCGTTACGCGTCAAAATGAATGCGAGTTTGCGGTATTTTATAGATCTAGTGACTTTAGTACGGGATTGTCAAAATGTTTGTAACTCAAACAGGACATGGTAGAAAAATTTCTTCTTTTGATTATAGATTGCTGATATAATATTAATTTGTTGTATAAAATGATTTGCACCACGTACAGGCATATATTATTCATAGCGATTTTTAAGAAAATGAAGTCGGTGAGTAAATTTTGCTTATCACCTATTTTGTTGTCTGACAAGTTTTTGGCATCCCGGTCTTCCTTTATATATATATATATATATATAATAAAAAAACTCTGATAGATATCTTAAAGTTCTTTTATGCGTCTGTTTCCGCTTATTCAACAATTTCTAAAAATTAATATCTCGTTAAATATTGCGAAAATTACAAAATAATAGAATTTTTCAACTTAGTTTAGTCCAGTCTATTTGCCTACAAGCGATGTGTCAAAAAGTTTTACACACACGCACACACACATTTTAGTGCATACTGTTATAAGTGATTCTTGAAAAAGTTGCTCAATTTGAAACATCAATAGTTATATTATATATATAACTATTGAGGTTTCAAATTGAGCAACTTTTTCAAGAATCACTTATAACAGTATGCACTAAAATGTGTGTGTGCGTGTGTGTAAAACTTTTTGACACATCGCTTGTAGGCAAATAGACTGGACTAAACTAAGTTGAAAAATTCTATTATTTTGTAATTTTCGCAATATTTAACGAGATATTAATTTTTAGAAATTGTTGAATAAGCGGAAACAGACGCATAAAAGAACTTTAAGATATCTATCAGAGTTTTTTTATAAAATATCATAAAGATGTTTATTACTAAAGAATTCTTAAAGATATCTTAAAGTTGTTTTGTGCATCGATTTTAACTATTCTGCTTCATTGAGTAACTGTAGAAAAGAAATTGCGAAAATTGTAAAATAGTAAAGGACTTTTCGATTCAGTTCGGTCTGCTCTATCTACCCAAAAGCGGTATGTCAAAAAGTTTGGGACATCCTGTGTATATAATATATATATATATATATATATGTATATATATATATGAAGTACGTTACAATACGTTGTGTTAAAAAGAATCAGACCGCACCTGCGCGATCCACTGTCGCACAAGTCCCTTTATGAAGTATTTCTTTATGGAAAACAAACATCTGTTACTTTATTGCCATAATCAAATTGATCGCTTAACCATACATCCCTTCTGGAATAAAGGTGTAAATTGTTATGTCGATCCCATGATAATATTTCATTTATTTTTGCATTACATTTAAAATAAATTAAGCAATTCAAATACATTCAAATTAAAAAAATACAAAGCTATAGAATATTTAATCGACAAATCGAAAAAAGAGAACGTAAAAAGTTAAACAATTATTACATACTATCTATTGTATACTTACATACAAACAAACGTTTTCAAAATATAGATTTCAATATACAATATAATTTCTCCTGAGTTTAGAAAAGAAAAACGACATCAAATTTTATTAAAACGACAGGTAAAATATTTGTTGGACCAGCATATTTAACGAGCTGACTGAAATCCGCAGTGGAAAAGTACGGTAGTTATGCGAAATTTACACGTTCATATTATTATGTGAGATATTGCTTTTGTTACACTATATTTGTAAGCTAATTAGTGAGTCTATAATAAATGCACTTATCAAGTAAAATAATTTTAAACGGAAAAAGAAGATTAGCTGCCACAGCTAAAAATTAGGTTTGGTAGCTAATTCAGTAACATTATATGGACATCTAACATCGTGTCTGCGAGGTCTAATTTTCATTAGCTGTGAGGCCTAAATATTATCATTGTAACAGACAAGCATTTTGCGATTATGTCGATCTATTAATCATTGCAGCAAACGTTTTCTGTGTAGCAGACAATTTGATAGCAAGTACAGTTTCAGCAAACCATATTTAGCTGTGGTAGAGACACTTTTCTTTTATACAGACATATCCGACAACTATGACAACTAACTTCATATTGCTAAATAAATTGATCTGTAACAGACATGCATACTTCGCTATCACGTCTTTATATTAGCTACAGCAGCAAATCCTCTGTATGTATTAGCAAATTTCATAGCTATAGTAGTTAATGCAATTTCAGCTAATCAGAATTAGCTGTAGCCAGAAACATTTTTTTTTTTCCGTGCGGTCTTCAATAATGGTCATATTTAGCGCATTGGCTTTAACTTTATATTTATTTTGGCCATACATTTTTAACATTGAATTGATTGGTTAATTTTAATGGAATTGTAAAGAATGTTAATTTTAAGAAAATGTGTAAGTATTGAAAACAACGATATATTTATATAGTAAATTATTAATAAATTAACGGTTGATATATATTGATATACGTAAGCTAGGATTACTACTTCTCTAGATAGACCAAATTAATTTATGATCGTATACACTGCGAAACATATGAAACATAGTCATTCATTTACTGAAAACTGATAAATATATTTGCATCACTTTCTGTTGGATAATTAAAAACAAATGCCAATTCATTAAGGTAGAAAAGTTATGAAAGATAGCTTAATGTGCATGAAGAAGTGAAGACTTTAATACTAACACTAACAAAGAATACAGAACTTTTTACTTACAATTAGATGTAATATATTCAATAAGCTTTGTAATATTTTTAACACTTTTCGCGATTTCTTTTATTTCACCGGTAATAATTTCACATATAACTCACACTCACTTCTGAGACAGTTCGACCAATGTTCCTCCGAAAGACCTAACGCATCCTATGAGTGCACGCACGGGAATGAAATACATAAAGCAACGTGCTGGAAGTCGAATAAGTTGCGCTTGCGTAGACTTCGACAAAGACATCACCTTATGTATTTGTAGTGTAAAATAAACAGCTGCGGAATTCTATTCGACATCAAATCGATCGTCTTTTTCTCCCAGCAAAATTGTTAAAGTATCGTGTGTGTGATCCCACGACAGTATTTTATATTACGTACTAAATTAAATTATAGCGTTACATATTATATTATACGCTATTTAGAATTTAACATAAAAAAAGTTTCAAAATATGCAATTGTTTGGGAGGAGGGAATACGCGAGACATACACTTTGATGTCTCTTTCACAGTCAGATGTATCTCAATGCTTATAACGAGAGATGATTTTTGTTGAGACCCAGTATTTTGACCTCAATCGAATTCTTCTACTCGCCATTGGCTTATGGCCTTACAAGCAATCAAAACTCATTCAATTACAATTAATTTTATTTTATGGTATTTTGACGAGCTGCATTATAGTTCAGGTATATCAATATTTTTAATTGTCTCTTATTAGATAATAAATTACTATACCTTTAAAATTAATTATTTAATATCAATTTACTATTTAATATTATATATGTAATATTGTATTATAATATTATTTTACAATATAATTTTAATTGCATTTTAATTACAAGATTATTATGCATAAAAAGCAACTGATTATTTTAGACTTACATTAATCAAATTGTTATTCAAATATATAAATATTCAAATAACTAAATCGATATTCAAATAAAGGACCAATTTTATTAATAAGGATATTTGAATAAATTTGTTGATTGTAGCTTATGACATTTTTGACTGCAGAATGTACACTTAATCTTGTCATTAAGATTTTTTCTTACATATCATTTTTAATTTCATTTATAATTAAATATAACTCGTTTTGGATTAACACTCAAACTGTAAGTTAGATTTTTACTCATCCATTATAAATGTATAGAATATTTCTCACACTTTACGGGAAACACACAACATAAAATATTATTAATATAATAGGTCAGGTGTTTACTGGAGCAACTACAACATATCTATAATGAAATAAAAGATGAAAATGAAATTGCCATCATAGAAAAGTATGGACTAAACGCGAAACATTATACAATTAGAATCATACGTAAGATAAAATTTAATGATTTTCTTTACATGTGTGTGTGTCGTGTAATAAAAATTAAATTACAATCTCATATAAAAATTAAATAATATAGATCTTTGCGCTGCTTTTGTATATTAAACGTCGTATTTTTATCAAAATATAAAATATAATAAAAAATACAGTGATGTGCAAAAGTTTTTTAAAAATAAAATTTTAATTATTTTCAGGTGTTAGTACAAGATTTCGTTATCCATATCTTGTACTTTAACACCCGATAATGATTAAAATTTTATCAGGTTTTTTTTTAATAAATTTTAATAAATTTTAATAAATTAAAATACAAAATGTAACTTGCCTGAAACTTTTGCACGCCACTATATATATAATTACTTTCTTTTATTATTATTAAACAGACAAGTAAAAAATATTAAAGAAGCATAAACATGCAATTTTGTGCTAGAATATTCGACATTTAAAAGATAATTAAACATATAAAATATACAAAAAATTGATCTTCCAAACAATTTAAAACTGTTAGTGGTTTACATAAAGAATATTTTTCTGGAATATTATTACTTTTTCATTTTTTTCTTTATATTTTTTTTATTATTTTAACATATTTCCAACATCATTATTAATATATTATATATGTCAAAATGCGTCGATATTTTATTATTCATTTGCATGCAGCAAAATGTGACTACTTTTTTTAAATATGCTCAGAGATTACATTGTGCTGTGCATTAGCTAGTGTTTTTGTACCAATGTGGCCATGCATTCTCGATATCGTTGTACCCATGAATGAATCTCGACCACGTCCTCTAATTCCTATCATGACTGAATACTTTGTCGATCAGGAAAAGTATTTTTATCTCATTTTGCTGCACATAAACGTAGCTACTTGTATAGGGGCAATTGCATATATAGCAACAGGAACGATGCTCATAGGATACCTCAAACACGCCTGCGGAATGTTTAAGATTGCCAGGTAAGAAAAAGAACACATAAAATATCAAAATTGACGTCTGTTTTATAAGTAGAATATCATTTCTCGTCTAAAATAAATCTAGAAAGACTCTACAGTTATAGCAAAATTATTATTTATAGTTACCGTATTGAACGAGCAATGATAAATAAAATTTTTAAAAATAATACGAAGAATGAAATTACCATTTATAAGGCAATGATTTATGCTGTCGATATCCATCGTAAAGCTATGAAGTTAGTACTTACACAAAAATACATGTATATATACATATAGATATATAAATTTATCAGTATTATTAAAATATTTTAATAGAAAACAATAAGCTTTTATAATTATCTTTATATTATATGTATAATATTTCAATATACAATAAAAATAAGTTATAAGGTTTCACTTTCTTTATACCATAATTGCAATAAATAATAAATTGCATAGATTAAATATGTGTTTAAATTAAATATATGTGTTTTGCAATATATTAATAAAATAGCATTAAAAAACTAAATAATGATATTCAATAATATTTCACAACGTTAAATTACAATATACTTTTACCTAAAGTCTTCAATACATAATAGTAATACTTTTTAAAGATATGCTGAATTTTTGATATCCAACTTTGAGGGATCGTTCTTGTTTTTAATCGCAGTTAGTGTATGTTGCTTGAGTTTAAACTTATTCCGAGTAAGTCTTATCGCATCTTTGTATACATATATTTTAGATAAATATAAATAATGTAATATTTTATAATATTTTTATTAAAAGGATCTATCAATTTAATAAAAAATACATATATAATAAAGAAAGAATAAAAAGTAATTGAAAAGTTTAACGTTTAAGAAAGAATTAAAACTTAATTCTAAAATTATAAAAAAACAAGAAAAATACATACGTATTTTATTTTCTAACTTTCTTACAAATTATCTAAAACATTTAAGAAGCATAATGTTTCAGATTTTTCAAAGTGTAACATTTGGTAACAGCAAAGAAGAATTTTTATTACACTTTACGATTGTAGGTGTTATTCTTTTATACATGTTCTTAGCTAACTATGCTGGACAAGAAATCATGGATCACAATAATCATGTCTTTTCCACTGCGTAAGAAACTTTTTACATATGTATAGTGTTCTTTCTACTATAGCACTAGCATACATCCCTCTTTCTTTTGTAAAATTACTTTTCTGTGTAATGGAAATAATAATAGTAATGTTAAAACATAAAAAATAATTAAAGAAATAATTTTCTCATTGTTCGTTTTAGAAAAAAACGTTTGGAAAAATGTAAAAAAAATTGCTCGTACACAATTATACATAATTTTATATGTAATTATATGTAAGTAATTTTTTTACATTTCTTCAAATTTAATTTTTGTTTTAAGCAAATTGTGAAAATTATCCTTTTAATTATTTTTAATTTTCCCACATTACTATTATTATTTCTATTACACTAAAAAGTAATTTTACAAAAGAAAGAGGAACGTTACCTTCATTTTCAACTACTTCTCGTCCTTCTAAAAATTGTTTGTGCCATGCGTACACTTGAATCTTCTTAAGAGTGTTGTCCCCGAACTGTGCCTTGAGTCTTTTCAAAATTTTGGACGATTTTACGTCCTCTGTCATAAGAAACTTGATAATGACCTATTGCACAACAGGCGAGGGGTACCTCTTAATTGCTCTGACATCGTGTACTGACTAAAGGAGCGGTAGTGTGGGGTCCTCTACGGGGGGGATTTCCTTCAGGCATCTCTAACTGTACCATAATGCTTAGAAGTCGCACCCCTCTTCGTACCTCACGGCACGTACAAAAATAAATTCGGTTTATATTTGATTCATCCTCGTATATTTATATTTTCCATAGGTATAATGTTCGCTGGTATACAGCGCCGTTATCCATACAGAAACTAATACTATTTTTATTACAAAGGAGTAGCAAAACTTTCAGTTTAAATGTCGGCGGATTATTTCAGGCATCCTTAAAATGCTTCGCTTCGGTAAAAACCATATTACATATTAGAACATATATAATGTAACATACATCGTATAAACAAAATAAAAAAAAGTATATTGTTGCAGTTAACAAGTGCATCGATATCTTACTTCACTGTCATATACTCTACACAGCAATAATGAGAAAATACATCATCTATGTAGTTAAATATAGTATATAAAAATTAAGTAGGTAAGTAAAGACACAAATGTCTGATTTTACTGTCTCTATTAATTGTTTATAATTTTTTCTTTAAATCGTAATGCTGCTTACATAACAGAGAGAAAATAATTAGTTAATTTACGTAGGAGGAAGTCGCCTATATCGTACATCCTAACGTTTAAACAAAATTGTAACAAAAGTACTAAAGAGATCAGAATATTTCTGTACTTACATTGAATTTTGATTCATTGACAATAAAACAAAACGATACTTTTACGAAAATAAACATTACATTATTGTTAAAATTAGATTTTTAAACAAAGTAGCTTTCGGTACGATTTGGAGACCGGATCGTTAAATTGTATCACCTAGTTTTTAAATCGTACTTCTAATATAGCAAACAAGCTGACATTGCTTATTGTTATTTTGACATTAAAATAACATCTTTAGCGTCAAAATGATAAATATTTTGTTAATTTGATGCTATACTCGAAAAGAGTTTAAATATCAATTATAACCATGAAGAACACTATAATTCAATTACCCACCTTGTACTGATAACACCTTAGGTAAATTGTACCAAAACTTAGATCAGACACCGAACAAAATCAATTTCGAATGTCACTCGTAAACAGACGACTTAAAGACAAAACAAAAATGATAGTTTTTAATATTACTAGCGTCACATCAGTGTCACTATCTTTAAAAAAAATTGTTTCGTTTAGAAAATACAATGGAGGTACGATTTAACCGTTGGTATGATTTAGCCAACTCCACCCTACATGTAGAAAAGATTGTATTCGACATGATATCAATGGAACTAATTATGAAGTATTTTTCGCATATAGGTATGTATAAAAAGCGATAAAATATCAAAGATTGCTGATTCAATAAATAACTCGAATAAATAACATTATATCTGGATATAATATTTGCGATAATATTAAATAAAGAAAAATATCATTAAAATTTTACTCTAAGAAATGAATGAAACCACGAGATACCTAATAGATAATGTTTCTAATAATATATTATGGCTCAGATATAATAAATGTTTTATTTTTTGTTAAGAGCGAAGTTAGTATTATATCATATAATTAGAATCTGTAGTATTGTATACCTTACTGGTAATATTTTCAGTAATTGACATGTGAACATCTCAAACCAACGATCAACTATTTTCTCTCAACAAACAAACATATCCAACGAGAACACGAAATAGAATGAAGCATGTAAAAGTACAAGTAAAAGAAAAAGTGACTACGCTTGCGCGAATTTCGATTTTACGTTATCTCGTAAAAGTTTTTCTGTGAGAAATAAATATCCGTTAAATTTTCTTCAACGTCAAATCGATCGCTTAATCACTGATCTCTTCCCGAGCGAATATACTAAATTGCATGCGGTCTTTTTGTAATTTCATTTGCTACACTGTTTATGCATTTGTAATAAGTTATACAATTGACATTAAAATTTAGACGAACAGAAAGAAATTTAATCGATCGAAAGAAAAAAATATGCAGAACTTTTCCAGCATTTCATAGTTAAACGCATGTTGATGTTTAACGAGAGATGAGACATTCAAGAATTCAGCACTTTAGTCTAAATCGAATTCTTCTGCTTATGATTGGCTTATGGCCCTATAAACAATCAAAATTCGTTTTATTTCAGCAGCTCTTACTTTTTGGTATTCTAACGAGCTTTGTTGTACTTCTGGTACGTTAATACTTTTAATTGTATTATATTAAACAAACTGCTATAGTACATATTTAATATTTTTATATTAAATATGATTATATTATATATTATATTTGATTGTAAAAGATATAATACAAATGATTATATTAAAGAATTTGATATAATTATAGTTATTTTTATTGAAACATACAATATATTATAATAAATTTAAAAATATCTTATTATTAAATCATAAAATTCTTTCTAATACAATTTATTTATTGTTTATTATAGCTTATAAAATTTTTGATCGTAGAATGCACGTCCGATTTTGTTATCACAATATTCTCTTTCATACTATTTTACGTTGCATTTGTAATTAAATACAATTCATTTTGGATTAATAGTCAAACCGTAAGTTAAATCTTTATTGCATGCGTTTAAATAAACATCCGC